TGTGGGAGCAAGGGCATGCTGGCCATTAGCAGAGCATGCCGGAGTGTCTTCGTCCTTCAGTCCGAAGTTGGCTTGAAGCCTTTAATTACACAGATATGTTAGTGTACAGCATTGTATCAGCTCTTGGTGAAAAAATTACCCCCAAATTTTGTGGCTAAAACATGTATTATTCCACAGTTTCCGTGGACCAGGAATCCAGGGGCAGCGTAGCTGGATCCTTTGGGTTTCTCCTAAGGCAACAGTCATCTCAAGGCTCAGCGAGAAGGATTCACTTTCCAGCTCACTCACCTGATTGTTAGCCGATTCAGTTCCTTGTGGGTTGTTGAACTATGACATCAGTTCCTTGCACCTCTTGGCTGGAAGTCTCCCTTAGTTTCTTGCTACGTGGTCCTCTCCATTGGAAATCTCACAATATGGTACCTTGTTTCATGAGCAAAAGACAGAGTGTTCGCTAGACGTAAGGCACAGTCTTTTGTAACATAATCAGAGTGACAACCCATCACTTTTGCAGTGTTCTGCTCATTAGAAGCAAGTTAATAGGTTCAGCCCCCTCTCAAGGGAAGGGGATTATACAAAGGCCTGCCTACAGGAAGTTGGGGATCACTGGGAGCCATGTCAGAAGCTGCCTGCCACAAGCATCATGGCAGTACATGAAGGGATGTGTTCTCTACTCTGTCTGAAGGATAGACCTATGATGAATTGTGGTATGAATGTTACATATATTTGCATTGCTAATTATAACTTTTAGAAGTGCTGATTTGGGGCACTGAATATGGTCACTTTTCTCTACCAAATTGGCTAAGTGCTGAGTCACGCTCACCTGAGCCCCAGGAGACCAAGATTTTTGGGAAGGCTAAAGTTAGAGCCCCTGTCTGAGGTCATGGAACAGAGTAAAAGTAAGGGGCCCTCACGGCCTTATTAGCGAGGTACTCTAAACACAGAGAACCAGAGAGTCTCCAGCTTGTATTTCATTATGTGTTATAAGGTTTTGATTGGTACTTTGCAGCTCATTCGGGGGAAGGGACTCTATGGATTGATTTATAAAGTTGCTATTAAGATAATGGAATGGAATGATTATGCTTGTTTTAATTGTCCCCATATCCCTATTCCCAGCTTCCTGACTCCAGTATACACTTTAAGGAGTAAACTGAGTTAATGGATGTGAATTTGGATTATGCGGCGGCTGTTTAAGACATTTCTCATTTTAAGTTGAAAAATCCTATTAGAAAATCCGTGTATCTTTAGAGGAAGATTTCAGATCTAGATTTTTTTCACCTGTTTGCAAGTCATTGCCTCTTTTTGGTTGCCAAAGCTCCGATTTGGAAATTTAGGGATAAAATGTCTTCTGTCCCAGTTGCTGCTGGTTAGCTTCTGGAGGACCTGTGAAGCCTCTGATAAACATGTCTGGTACACACTCTTGCTCCCTGCCCAGAGTTGCACTGGCTCTTCATGTGAACCTCAGCTGTCACATGGATCCCTCCAGGGTACCCTAAACTGTGGTTCATATTTATGTCCCAACTTGAAGAAGCACAACACAAAGACAGGGACAGTTTGAAATCTTATATCTCTTCACATGCACAGCACCTAATAAAGAAGCTGATACATAGTAGGCATTTTATTTTATTTATTTATTTTTGATACAGAGTCTAGCTCTGTTGCTGGGCTGGAGTACAGTAGCTCAATCTCGGCTCACTGCAACCTCCACCTCCTGGACTCAAGCAATTCTCATGCCTCAGCCTCCCGAGTAGCTGGGATTACAAGTGTGTGCCCCCATGCCCGGCTAATTTTTGCATTTTTAATAGAGACAGGGTTTTGCCAAGTTGGCCAGGCTGGTCTCGATCTCCTGGCCTTAAGTGATCCATCCACCTTGGCCTCCCACAGTGTTAGGATTGTAGGCATGAACCACTGCACCCAGCCCATAGTAGGCATTTTAAAAGCATTTGAAATGGTAGATGAAGCTGCAGTAATATGTAATGGATTTTTATAATTATTCACTGTCAACTTTCAACATCGACTATTCATTTTCTAAGGAAAGCAGCACAAGAAGTTATATATAGTGAATATAATTTATGTATATAAATTTATATATATTTATGTATATAATTTATGTGTAAAATGCTTACATATTTGCTTTTAACTAAGATAAAGTTGGCTTTTAACTAAGACAAAGTGATGTATCTCTAGAGCCCTAAGGATTAATACTACCTACCTCCTGACAAAAACAAGGCATGTTTTAAGATTTTACTCCCTCATTTCCATCCTCTGCTCTATCTATTGCTCATAAATTGATCCTGAGATTTTCTTTATAAGTTTAGTAGTGGGAATATTATATGTTTCAATTCCTCTGTTATGTTTTGTTTTTAGTGCTCAGTCCTCTGTCTTTTGCTTATTGTGATTAGTAATGCACTTATATTTTCAAATAGTACTAAAAATTAATCATCTGTATATTTAAGTTGGTATAAAGGTATCCTTTGTCAGCCAGGAAGTATGTGGTGAAAGAACCTTGAGCATAACATAGAGGAAAACCACACTCTCACTTTATTAAACCTTACATTTAAAAAATAGAGTTTTGATACTATATGGAAAAAGTTTTCATCTTTTTGGATTTTTTGTTTGTTTTTCAAGGTGTTAAATAAGAAACCCAAGTTATACTGAGCTAGTAAGGCACACTTCTCAGGTTGTCTTGAAGGGTTAGGAGTTTACTCCTTCAGCTCAGGCCAGTGATGCAGTGATGATAGAGTCAATCCATGGCATGCAATCTGTGTTGTGTACTCACATATCACATTGTATGCTAATATTCCTTGTTCATAAATTTTTCTAAGGATTACAGTATAATAGCCAAACAGTATCACAAGGCATCAGCCACATTTTCTGGTGATAGAAAATAAGGAAGTAATGGGGCAGGTTGTTAGGGAAGAGAGGTTTTTATTTTATGTGTCATATAAATACAAATACATTCGATATTTTTAATTTACAGAAGTATGTAGCACATCCACTAGCTAAGACTATGTCCTTCCTTGAGAACTCATGAGAGAACTCTCCAGTTTTTTCCTGGATGGCTTATCATTTGCTCTTTAGTTATTCCCATGTGCCCTACAATAATTTTCATGTCCTGGATTTATTTCTCCTATATACAAATCTGAAAGACCTGTACTAAATCCAAGAAGCTCCTCCCTAAACCAATTAAGCATTTGATTTTGTCTTCACCATGTTTATCTAGCAGTATCATCTGTAAAGTCAGTTATTTGCATGTAGCAAATCAAGTTCGTGAGGCTTGAAGTGAGTTCATCTCAGCTCAGAAATTCATAGAACAGCAGTGTGAACATCCATGTGTCACTTTTTTCACACTAACTCTCATGAATAAGACATATACTCCCTCAAGAACCCGTGGTTTTCCTAATGAATTGGAGTCACCTATGTGTACTGTATTTGCGACATGCACATTTGCAGTTGAGGTCCACAGGAAGGACACCATTTCCTGGATCAAACCGCAGAGTGCAAATATTGTGCCCTAAATAACACACTAGTTACTGTAAATGTCAGTAGAGGGAGTTTTTCTGACTTTGATTTAATGAAAGCCTACAGCAAAGCCAGCTGTTAGCACTTCTTAACTGCTTGTCAGAGCAACCAGGGGAGATAGGGAGGACCAAAAACACTTTTTCTCTATACTTTTGTTTTAAAATTAAAGTAGTTTTCAACAGGTGTTGAATAGGGACACTGGGGGCTCTATACTACTTGACATTATTTAGTTGGTGAATTTAGTTCTCCTCCAGGAGAGTTACTTGGATCTAGAATTACATAAGGAGATTGTATAAAATGTGTTTGCAAGTTTGTATATTGAATCCTCTCACCTGCAAAAGAAGCATTTTTGTGTTCTGGGCTCCCCATGAGGAATAATTTAAAAATAAAGGAAAGAGAAGACACACCAAATGCCGATCCCTCGCTTTGTCACTTTGGGTATTGCCAAACTAATTGTAAGCCATGTGTGATTTGATGGATGTCATCTGCTTTTTCTGAACAAAGAAACCACTTGAAGCAAACACATAGGGAGGAAAGTATGCGACGCTCGTTTCTGTAATTTTTTTCATTTCTAGAATGCATTAGTAAATACATGTGGTTGTGAAGGGCCTTACTGCCCTTGGAAATTCCTTTGACATTTTGCTGTGTGTACAGAGGGGAGATAATCTTTCAACCGTAGGGAAAGTTTACAGTCTTATTATCTTGAAGAGGAGAAGAAAGTTTCTTCCTCAAGTGATTTATAACTTGAAACATGCTGTCATGTTTTGGTAAGCCCACTTTATTAATTCCATCCTTCTCTGTGGCAAATTAAAAAAAAAAAATACATGTACCATTGCAACATAGTGCTTTCTCAATAGCATATTGTACTTATAATAGCATGATGGAAGTTACCGGGCTTGGGTTAGTCATATAGAATGCAGAGCCAAGTTCTGAGTAAAACCTCTAATTGAATTACCTGCAAAAGCACTGACAGACAAGCTTTCAGGACGGACAAAGCTCTGCTTTCCCGAGCAGAAATAGGTCATGTTTAAGTCTGCCTTGTGACTCTCTGTTATTGGTTTTTGCCGGCACTTTCACCTCATGCCTCTGTTGGGCCCCTTTTCCTGCAGCAGAGGAGGAGCAGCTCTGTGAAAGCCAGAGGGCTCACACATTATCCTCTCGATTTAGAGAAAATTGATAACAGATCAAGTTAAATGGAAGAGCCTTTGAAATAAAAATCCAAAGTATTTCTTCACAGATTACTCAGATTCTTGCATGATTCTTTTATTGTATTGAAAAGAGAAGATCAGGATATGAAAGTAGCCTTTCTGTAGCAGTGAGACCTGAAAAGTACTGTTTGTTTTAATTTGGGGGAAGAATTAGAGAAAGTTCCTGTTGTCCAAATCAGGAAAGAATTTATTGTCCATCATGTGTATGTGAAAATGAAGAGTAATGTGTTGTTCTCTTCTTTCTCTCCTGCTCTCTCTCTGTGTTATCCACAGCCTCTGCAATCCCAGATAATGGAAGAAGGTCCTGTCTAAAGCTCAAAGTCTTTGTGAGACCGACAAGTAAGTTCACTAGAATGAGCTTCAGAGGGTGGCTTCACTGCGCATGCTTTATTGTGTGGTCTGGTTCACAGCGGTAAAATTTTTTTACTGTTAAATCTTGTGTGGTATCTGTTTTGTATATCAACATTCATATTTTAGTTTTCATCATATTTTTTCTCATTCTTCATGATGCTTTTACTTAAGTACACAGCAGTTGCTAACTTGTTGTTTCTTAGACTGTTGTACATGCAGAGCAAATGGGAACAATATTGGCATTTAGAACATGCCATTGATTGCAAAACAATCTTTACATAAAAAAAGAAAAAAAGGAGAGAAAGAAAAAAGAAAGAAATGGGAGTTTAAGGGTGTCTTCACTAACATATTTGGCTGTTATCTCTATTTTTGTTATAGATAGCTGTATGAAAACTATAGGTGTTCATGATCGTGTTTTCGATGTTAACGACAAAGTAGAAAATTCATTAGAACCAGCAGGTTAGTATGCTTAGAGAATCTCTTTTAACAAATGCATCTATTTCTCTGGTGCTTCAGTATTTTTTTCCTTTCTTCCTCTCTGCATGTTTGCATGGTATAGTTGTTGTTCTGCTTTTGCTCATTGCTAGCGATGCTAATATGACTTATATTCTACCTCATTCCTCCAGTATCTTTGTGTAATGCATGTTAGATAAAATAAAACTTTTCTTTTTTGGAATGGGTTTGAGCTAATGCAGTATCCTAATATAGAAGCCCCATCAGAATGCTAAAATCTCACTGCCTTTTGCCATATCCTCAGAGCATGCTGGTGAATCACTGTGAATATTAAAGGTTCTGTTTTCATATAAGACACAAAACATTTCTATTGTATATGTTCATAAAATTTTATTTTTTATGTCCAAATCTATAGATAAAAGTAATAAGACTATTGCACAAAATAGAAACTAATTCAACATATTTAGTTTTCTCTAGAAATTTACATGCATCATTGAACTGACCTAAGGAACTTTATTTTATTTAAATATTATTTTAGCTATTGTCAATAGTAATTGGTCTAGAGAAGTATAATCACATTGCCACCACAAATTCACACATCTCTTGCTGCCACAAATGTACCAGTAGCCTGTTGAGCCAAATGTGATCCTTGATTACCGAGGCAAAATAAGTTTTAAGGATAAATAAAATTTTTCTACTATTGACTTCCACACTCCTAATGTTTCCCATAACTAAAGAAAAATAAAACCCATCAAAGCACTCATTGAGGCATTTAGTCTGTCGCATACTATGGATAATGAGAACATGTAAACTATTCATTTGGTTATCAATTCAGTCTGGCCATTTAATGAAACTAGATTCACTGGGAGGTGTGGTCGCCCTCTGCCAACTGCTTATGGAGGAGTGTGCCTGGAGGCCCTGTGTGTTCCCTTCCTCTGTGGTGTCCTCTTCTCCCCTACCTGCTCCAGATCTTCACTGGTTTCCTTACCCATCTCCCTTGATCATCTCAAAGCTTAAGGGCAATAAAATGTTTTCCTCTTCATGGAGAGATTTGAGCCCCCTTATGTAAATGGAGATTTTTTTTTTTTTTTTTTTTTTTTTGCTTTTGTAGTAGAAATTTCTCTTCCTTATGGTCCTAGAAACTAACAGGCATTGAGGTCCACTTTTTCCTCCAATGTTGTAACCAGGACTGCACAGTCAATGAGCCTTAGGGAAACTTACCCTGAGTAAATGCTGTGCCTCAGGACATACAATAGCTTGCCCGTTATAACTGGCAGAAAGAGTTAGAGTTTTTTCCCTGAAGCATTCTTGTTTTTCTAAGGCAGGCATCTCACCCAGAGCGCAAATGAGAGGTGTGTACAATGAGCTCTCCGAGGCCTTAGTGGCTCCCCAGGGATCAGTTAGCTGCTTTAGAAAGTTTTAAGGAATGAATGCTGACATGAAGACATTTTAATTGTGTCCTGGAAATCTGGAGCCATGACTTTGGCTTCTTAAGGTACCAGAGTCCTCACAATTGGGGACTTGGGCCATCAGAGGATCTGCAAGTTACTCAGTATCTCCCTCAACAGCCCCAGAGTCTACACTCTTCCTTCTGTGACTGAGGAGACTCACCCGTGCCACATTGCTGATTAGATAGATCCAGGTTTAATACTCAGATCTTCTGACTCCTATTCCAATATTAGTATCAAAGTAGTAGTCTCTTACCATTGCTAGAGATATGTTCATAAAGAGGACTTAAGTCTCTTGGCTTTGTTAAGAAGCCACAAGAAGAATGAGCAGCATGTTCTAAACAAAAATTACCCAGGATTATGATCTATTGATACACATTGTACATAATGTAGGCATATCTTTCCCATGGTTTTTTTTTTCCCCAGGGAATCTCTACTGCCTGTCTACAGCATAGAAGGCTGCTTAGATACCTAACAGATTGCATATTTTTCTCTGGTAATGAAGAGGCACATGGAGGACCATCCTGCCGTTAGGAAAATTACCTTTGAATTCCACTAACGATACAATGCAAGATATTAAGATGCCTTCGTGCATGAACATATGTCACTGTCTTTGGGGAAACAATGTTTTTTTTCACTGAACATTTAAAATGCACAATGGCCCCAAATTGATGGACATATAACTGCTGGAAGTTTGCAAAAGTTTGGCAGAATGTAGTTCAGTGTGTGCAAACGTGCGCTGGGGAGTAGAGCGTAGGTGTACATGCAGGAAAAGCTCCTTGAGTCAGTCAGAGCTATGTTTTAAGGGCTTGCTGGTGAGCAACTTCACTAACAAAGTGAGACAAGGTTGAGCCACAATTCCTGGCAATAAGAAAACAATAAGGAGTGAAGCACTGTGCCTCACACCTATAATCTCAGCAATTTGAGAGGCTGAGATGGGTGGATTGCTTGAGGCTGAGAGTTTGAGACCAACCTGGACAACACTGTGAGACCTTGTCTTTCCAAAAAAAAAAAAGAAGTGTGTGTGCCTATAGTCTCAGCTATTTGGGAGACTGAGGTGGGAGGATTGCTTAAGCCCAGGAGTTCGAGGCTACAGTGAGCTATGATCATGCCACTGCACTCCATCCTGGGTGACAGAACAAGATTCTGTCTCTAAGAAGAGAGAGAAAGTCCCGTCAGACTTGCAATTCTTCCCCACTGTGTCAAACCACTGAATGAAAGGGTATTTGCCTTCCCCCAGCTCCGGGTGTAGACCCAGTCTTTATGAACCCAGCAAGTCTGAAAGGATTCCACTGCATGATCTCAGCGATGTGTACTAATTCACCTGTCTTTGGAATGTATTTGTCTTTTTTGTTTGCTTGCACACTCTGCCTGCCAGTTTCCTATCATCAGGGATGCAGGATGATCTCAGGGCAGACATATGCCACATAACATGCTCCAAAATATTGTTAGTGTTCTCTCCATTAACCATTGAAACCCCCATGTTGTGGAATCCTGTAGCCAAGAGGCAAAACTTGATTTAGCTTCTGAAGAGGAACATTTTCTTCTCTCAAGCCCATGTTACAAGTGTTAGAAATTCTCTCATATTTAGGTGTACTTTTCATTGGGATAGATTTTGCCTATGAATTCCTCCTTAGAATTCTGAAATTGCTCAGATTTGCCCAAATGACAGCCAGTTTCTCATTTCACTTTTGGGGGCTATAGAATTTCCCAACACTGGGAACCTGTTTTAATCAAAGGATGCTTTGTGGAATCCCAAATGAGGAACAGCGTGTTGCAGGAAGAAGAGAAGGATCCTGATGCCCTAATGGGACTGACTTTCCTTTTGTGGGGCAGGAAGATATATATTCGTTGGGTGCTTATAAAAGGTTAATTCCAAAGATTGTATATGATAAAAGGACTGAAAGGCCCACTTAGCCTCATACTGCACTTAGATGAAAAACAAAAGCCTTTCTCTCCATTACCCTGTAAGACCTATTCCCTGTGTCTTGTGCTGAGTAGACCTGGAATAATGGATAGCCCTCACTGTGTACATAGAAGGGACTAGGGTGGTGGTGAAGGGGTTCACACCGAAGATCTAAGTGCTAGCTGGGTACCTTTAACAGTACACTTGTAAACTATACAAGGAGAAGGATTGGGTAATATGCTAGTAAAAATAAGATAGAGAGGAATCCAATAGCTGATGCAATTTCAGGTATTTAAATATGTGATATTATGAAATGAGCTCTGGAATCCTCAGGGTTTATGGTTATTTCACAATTAAGCCTGAAGTGCTCCATTGTTTTGATTGACAACATATTGGTGCTCTTAAGAAAGTGATTTGGATTTTAATTTCAGGGCTATTAAGGGCCTTGACTTCTACTTCCTGTTAACTACAGATTTAATTAATACACTTGCAAGGCTGAAAAAGAGCAGAGAATAGAGGAGAGTCTGAAGGTATTTGGCCACATTGTGGAGGACTTGATATATATTTTTTTCTGCATCCATTTATCTTACCATCTTGCTTCCTAACCTTTTCTAGTCTCCTAGGCTAAAATCACTCCATGTAGATTCACTAAGGTCCAGGAAAAGGGAGCAAATTTGACAAGGGGATGCAACAGCTTTTATTCGAGGGAAGGCTAAAATGATAAGAGCACTCCAGGGCAGGAGACTCAACACTAAGAAGACCTTTCTCATTGGGAATGGACGTGATGGACAGAAACATCCCAAACGAGCATATCCGAAGCAGAAGTCAGCCTGTGAACCTGAAAAGTGGTTACTTTAGGACAAATGTTAGGGAGTGTGATTCTACCCAGTGAACTAAAAGCACCCTTATTGTGACACGTGTGGTAGGAAAATATAAATGAGTTTAAAATAATGGTTAGTTAACCCGTTGAGGGGTTTGAGGTGGCCCCATCCGGGGTATTTAGGGATTTTCCTTTGAGGTCAATATAATTGTGAACAACCACTAGAGCCTTGTTACCATTCTCTCTGACCCTTGAGCAATTCCCAGATGGCAACTGCTGAACACCTACAGGAAGTTACCCTGATGCTGAGATAAAATTTGCACAGGGACTCACTATTGGCCCCCAGAATGTGTTATTCAGAGATCCTTAGTCTAAAAGCACAAGTGGCCAGGTATGGTGACTCCTGTCTATAATCCCAATGCTTTGGGAGGCCAGGGGAGGAGGTTGGTTGAGGCTAAGAGTTTGAGACCAGCCTGGGAGGCAAAGCAAAACCCTGTCTCTCTAAAAATGTTTTAAATTAGCCAGGCATGGTGGTTCACACCTGGAGTCCCAGCTACTTGGGAGGTTGAGGCAGGAGGATTGCTTGAGCCCGGGAGGTCAAGACTACAGCGAGCTGTGATTGGGCCACTGCACTCCAGTCTGCACAACAGAGCAAGACCTTACCTCTCAAAAACATTGATTAATTTAATTTAATTAACAGTAAAGAAAAGCATGTTAGACAGGTGGAAAGAAGAAGACAGGCAGCCCTGGAGCAGAGCATGGCTCCTAGGCAAGCCTCCAACCTCTCTTTGGTACTAATTGCTGCAGAGTTCCCATTTTGAAGTTAAGCCTGTTAATCATGCAGATCAGGAAGGCTATCCAAAGTCAGAGGCAGCCTCATAGAACACTTTATAGCTAAATAAAAGAAGCTTAACTCACTTAATCCATTTTATTTAGAGGAAAATTTGCATCCACGCTGATAATTTATGTGCCAAGCTTCAGCCCGATAAAAATAAAAATAGTCAAGTTCAAGTAATTTAATCTTAGAAATACAGGGTTTGTAATAGAGATAGCACCATAATTGACACCTAATTATAGGCAAACTAGTGGGCATAGGTTTATTGAAGTTTACTAGGCATGATGTATAGTTTATCCAAAATGCTGTTGTTTTGGCATTTAGTTTTTCATGTTTGAAAATTCGTCTAGGCATCCAACAACCAGGCAATCTACACTAATCCTATGAAACAGCTAAAAGAAGGGAAATGGGCAGTGCATTCTGCCCCACCCCCACCAACATGTCAGTTGCCTGCTTGTGACATCTTAGGTTTCAAAGGTACATTCAGATATCTGAAATTTGTGCAAGGCATATCTGACTGCTGGCTAACCAAAGCAGCTCACGTGCCAAAGTTTACAGTGTATGCATAATTTTTCCCTTCAATTTTTAAGGAAAGTATTAATATTGCTGAGAAAGTCCAATTTTCTTTGCTTCTTCTTTGTTTTCTGTAAATAATGAGTGATTATGCAGACATGAAAGTCAATGGTGGCACAAGGTTCATTACCCTACTTTGCAGAGGGTGGCGAGGTCTGTTAACAGCAGGCTACTGCAAGAGAGTTATTAAGGATGTGAAATCTCATTGGAATGTGTGCTTTCTATTTGAACAGATGACACCGTACATGAGTCAGCCGAGCCATCCCGCGGTGAGAACGCGGCACAAACACCAAGGATACCCAGCCGCCTTTTGGCAATCCTACTGTTCCTCCTGGCGATGCTTTTGACATTATAGCACAGTCTCCTCCCGTCACTTGTCACAGAAAACATCAGGGTCTTGGAACACCAGAGATCCACCTAACTGCTCATCCTAAGAAGGGACTTGTTATTGGGTTTTGGCAGATGTCAGATTTTTGTTTTCTTTCTTTCAGCCTGAATTCTAAGCAACAACTTGGGGCTGGGGGCCTAAACTTGTTCCTGCCTCCCTCACCCCACCCCACCCCCAGCCCTGGCCCCTGACTTCTCTCGCCCCTCCCAAATTAAATGGACTCCAGATGAAAATGCCAAATTGTCGTAGTGACACCAGTGGTTCGTCAGCTCCTGTGCATTCTCCTCTAAGAACTCACCTCCGTTAGCGCACTGTGTCAGCGGTCTATGGACAAGGAAGAGTAGTGGCAGATGCAGCCAGCGCTGGCTAGGCCCGGGAGGGTTTTGCTCTCCTATACAATATTTATGCCTTCTCATTCAGAACTGTAAGATGATCGTGCAGGGCATCATGTCACCATGTCAGGTCCAGAGGGGCGGTATTAAGAATAGATATAATATTACACCATTTCCTATAGGAGTGTATAAATGAACTGGCTTCTAAAAGGTTGAGACACTGGGTTTTTTTTAATATGACTGTCTTAAAGCATTCTTGACAGCAAAACTTGTGCTCTCTAAAAGAAGCCTTTTTTTTTTTCTAGGAGGCAGGTTGGGTGTGGAATGCTAATACAGAGCAGGTGTGAAAACAGAGAAAACTACAGGTTTGCTGGGGGTGTGTATGTGTGAGTGCCTCTAATTTTTTTGGTGACTGGGCAGTGCACACCAGATATTTTTTCTTTGAATACAGATCACCATGGTGCTACAACTTTTTTTTTTTTTTTTTAGAAACTCAAAGAGGCATTTTTATGAATAAAGTGACCTTCCCTAAGGCTGACAAGCCAGGGTTGATGAGTGCATAGTGGAATAGCTTTGGAGGCTCCTCTGGGGGATGACGCATACCAAGGAGAGGACCGCAGTGGCCAGAGGAGACATGATTTGGCTTTGCTGGAGCGCCAGTGTGCTGTGGCCTTTCCCCGCCTCCCACCCTAGTACCCACGTTTTGCTCCACACTCCATGACTGCAGGGGCTCGGACACAAACCCCTGTCACCAGGAGAGTCAGTCAGCACGACTTGGGAGGGCTAAAGGGAAATTTGGAAATAAAATTCCAAAGTTTGGAGTAAAAAAATTCAAGTGTTGATTTTATATTCTTTCCCTTTCTGGCACAGCCTAAAGCATAGGGGGAACATGTGTTTATCTGTGGGAGATAAACAAGATGGAGTCCCAAAGACTTTAACAAAATATTTTTTTAAAAATCCACTAGAATAGAAAATACATTATTTAGATATACTTTATGCTGAGAGTGAGTATATATGCTTGTCCTATTTAAACTTGTGAGAAAAAGTGGTATCCCTTGATACATTTAGAAATATGGGGGCTATCTTGTTTCATTGTGGGGGTGGGGCAGAAGGAGAATAAATGCAGGATGACCCTGTTGAAGGAATCTTAGCATGGCCAACAGGGGACATTTCCAGTCGATTACCAGGAAATGCAAGCCTCGGGGTTTCTACTGGTGGTGGGGCTGTCATGAACTTCAAAATCCAAAGCCTAGACAGCGAAAAGTGTTAGACCAATGGAAAAGGAATCCAACCTTTTTTTTTTTTTTTTTTTTGGCTATTGCACGACATGTCAACAGAAACCATGCCTTTCAAAGTAAGAAATGTGATGATCATGTAAAATGTGAAAAATTGAAAGCATTCCAGCAAAATAAGAATTTTTTATATCTTTGTTTTTTAAGATGTATATGTAAAAAAAAAAGAGAAGGTCACGTTATGGACAGACTTCGTGAATGGGAATTTGCTTAGAATTGTGAGTAGTTCTGAATTAGAAAAGTATGTGAATGAAAGGCAGCTGTAAATGTATTGCACCCTGGAGAGTTGTACACATGTTGAAATGTAATCTGGGCTTACCTGATCCATTTGGAGTGGATGTCACTGCCGAATCTGTTCTCACATGGAACCATGTGCGTGGGGTTGCCAGCCTCACAGATACAATCAATCCTATTCCCCCCTGACATCAGGAACTCCTCCGGAGTGGCAGAGTCTTATCACAGAAGGCAGCCACCATTTCACTGAAACAAAAGTTCACGGCATTCAATTCCTTTTTCCTTTAACTATTTATATACTTAGTACTCTCAGTGATATTCAGAAATACTTTTTTTTAAATAATTAATAGTTACAGGCTTGTTGGTCCAGTGGGATTTGGGTAGGGGGAGAAAGATACCTTCTAAAATGAATCAGTACAACCAAAATAATACTGCATGTTCTATAACCACAAGGAAATCAAATGATTCTGTAATGATTCCAGTTAGTCATAACTACGTTAGTAGTGCTAAATTCAATTTAGAAATGGTGACTTCTGTGGTTTTCCTAGCATTTGTCTCTAACAAATGGTGAAATAATTACTCATGGCCCTCTCTGCCATTGTCTTTCATTTTTTCACAGTGAAATTCGACCCCTTTACTTCACCATTCTGCCACTGCAAATTAAGTATAAAGAAAATAGCAAGACTATCCACACCAGTAGACAGTATGCTTCTCTACTTGTAAGTGACGTAATCATAGCTAATGCACTTGCCATGGAGTTTTCAAGATGATTGGTGTCAGACAGTTTTCATTTTGTTTAAAAAGTGTTGGTGGCCTTTTGTGGTGTTGTTACAATCCTCTGGGGGCTTAGGAGGATGTTGATGCAACTTTGTAGATGCTTTTAATTTCAAAAACAACTCAAAAGTCTGAAGGGCAGTCATAGCTGCCACTCAGCCCCAGTTAGTCAAACCCCAGTGACCTTTGCCCCTGGTTGCCAAGGGCTTTGCAACATGAAGCAGGGAAATAAGGATCTGTCTGTTTAGTGGATACCGTGTATCCTTTAATAGACCAGGTAACAGTTCGTGTTAGTTTAGACTATTGTTTTGTACTGTACTTTCTTGGGTGGCAGAGGAAAGAAAAGTAAAACATTAAAAAAAAAAAAAAAAAAAA